CGGATCCGATGAGCAGAATCCACCATCTTCTCAGAAACCAAGCGTACACAGACCAGAGATTATTTTCGGGTCGGTTATATAAAATATCTCCTTCTCTCATTTCATCTTCTTGCTCCTGGTCATCTTCTTCTTCGGCGTCGGCCTTTTCGAAGGTCGGATTTGTGGGACGGTCAAGTTGTTTTTAGGGATGGTGAAGTCACGTCCCCATTTTGACCAAGAGCACAACTAGCTGGATTATTATTCTCTCAGCCTCAGGTAAATGTATTTAGCAAACTGATTTTTGGGTATTTCTTTTTGTTTTTATGTTGTTACTATTGAGTATTGGATCAAAATTGCATGCCCTCTCTGTTTGGTTACTGAGAAAGTAGTGGAAAAGTGAATATAAATAATCATCTGGCCCCATTTTGTGGACTAAATGACTAGGATACATGCTGATAAGAACCATAAATTGAGAAAGAAAGCAGAGAACATAATAGAGAAATATGAGAAAGAAGAAGCAGAACACAGAGAGGAAAGAGAGAAAGTCAAGAGGTAATTCTGAATAATCTTATTCCATACTTCAAAATCATAATACAATACTTCTTAAATACAAAGGCCAGTACCTAACCGCAATGAACTAACTGACACAATTGGTTACTAAACTGAATAATTAGTTAACAAGGATCATGGATTTCACCAAGTTGGCTGGAGAAATTGGCACTGTATCACATACCCCTCCATCAAATCCTGTTGACATCATTGGAGATTCCCACAACTATTGTGTTGCTGGTGAAGAAGCCAATAATATGAATACAAGTCAAAGAACCCAGTCACACGGCATTCTTCTATTGCATGGTGGCATTTTCAGCACTGCACAGCTAGTTGCAACTCACTGCCAAGAAAAGCTGGAAATGAGGTGATATTGTCCTGTTGGCTGGTGCGCCACACCCTATTAGACAACTAATTTTATGAACAATTATTTCCCCCCTTGTCTCGTTGTGAGAATAGGTAGTACCTGAATTAAATCATATTCAGGTAGAAATTAATGTCTAACTACAATATTTTGCAGCGTAGTTGGGACTGCACATGGCTCCCAATTAATCATGAAGCTAGAAAAGAGAGAACTGTTAATAAAAGTATGGATCTGAATAGTACAGGGCTAAATGCTTAGAGAATTGTTCTTGCATGGCCTATACAACCTTGGATATTAAAGAAACTCATCGCTGTGCAATCCGGTATGATGATCTATTTGATCTTAAACAAGTCCAGTCTGCTGGACAGAATTTATATATTCAAATGTCTGCCGCTGATTCAGGAATTGGGTTAATTTTGGTTCAGCCTAGCATTTTAGTGTGTCATTAAGTTTTGATTCCTGTTTTTGTTGGGTGTTACTATTTCTATGCTCAGTCAATATGTGAATGATTTCATTGCTATGACTCTAATTTGCATATTTCTTCTTTGCTTTATTGAATTTGACCATGAAGGGGCAAAAGGCAAGACTAAAACAAAGACAGGACTGATAACTGCAACTACCATTTGTGTAGTTGTTGGTGTTCTTGTAATCACTTATGACATTCGCTAGGGCTGTAGAAACATAGAATGTATGTTTCTTTGCCTTCACAAATCATGTTGCCATTAAATATTGATAGCAACTTCCATTAGGTTTTTTCTGATCATTTGATTTTGATTAAATTCTTCTATTTGCTTCCAACATACAAGTAGATGCAAACATAGAAGTTATGGAATACCCTAAATACTCAACCATTCTTTTTGTCTAGTTGGCAATTGTCAAATTTCAAGGTTAAGATGTCTAGGTTTACTGCCCTTTCAGGAATAGAACGTGGCAGGATTGAAGAAAGGCAAAATTATAATATGGAACTCCAATTATTTGAGTTAGATGTAATATTGAAGGCCAATAATAACTTCTCTTTAAACAAGAAGCTAGGAGATGGTAGCTTTGGGCCTATCTACAAGGTAAATGCTCAAAGCTCTAGTAAAAATGAATATTAGAATATGAAGTCTTTGCTAAGAAAGAAATTAACTTTACAAGTACCCTTTTGCAGGGTACTCTACTAGATAGAAAAGATATTGCTGTAAAGAGGCTCTCAGGAAGCTTTGTACAAGGATTAGTTGAGTTCAAAAATGAAGTTGCACTTGTATCCAAACTTCAACATTGGAATCTTGTAAAGCTTCTATGATGCTGCATTCAGGGGAGGAGAAAATGCTGATTTACTAAATATGCCCGATAGAAGTTTGGACTTCTTCACTTTTGGTTTGGATTCTTGTTAACCGTTCAGTTAACTTCATAGGCACAGCATAAATTCATCAGAAATTGTTTCCATATTTCAGTGCAACTCTTTTTCAAAAACTCTATTTGAAGACTACATTAATACAAAGAACATCTTACATGACAGATTATACAAGAAGGAATCTTTTAGATTGGTCAAGGTGTTTTCACATTATTTACAGAATTATTGGAGGGCTCGTTGATCTACATCAAGATTCTCGATTGAGGATCATACATAAAGATCTCAAAGCAAGCAATGTTTTGCTTGATAGTGAAATGAGCCCCAAATTTTCAGACTTTGGCATGGCTAGAACATTTGGTAGAGAACAGTCTGAGGGGAACACACAGAGAGTGGTTGGAACCTAGTAAGTTCTATCTCTATGCTACCTAGTTTACTACAAATTCCCTGCTGGTATGAGTTGTCTTGATTGTTCCCTGCAGTGGTTTTATGGTGCTAGAATATGGGCAATTCTCTGTAAAATCCTATGTTTTCAGCTTCAGGATACTGTTATGGGAGATAATAAGTGGGAAGAAGAATAAAGGGTCTTATCATCTCAACCATAGGCCTAACCTTATTGGCAATGTAAGTATCATTTTCAAGACAAACCTTTTTACCTTCCTTAACTGGAAC